TCAAAACAAACCAGCAAAAAGGTTTTTAACTTTTATACGAACCTGTGGGCTATTCAATGTTTTTAGCGCATCAGCAACAGCTTGAGCGGTTCCTTGAACGTCCGATTTCACAATTATGGGTAACTCAACTCTAACAAACCCTTCGTCAGACTCTGCTTCCTCCATCTCTGCTTCAGCGATTCTCGCTTCCTCTGCTTTCAACAACCGATCTCTTTCGTATTTCCTTCTTCGTCCTTCGCTCAGCATTTTCGCGCGTTCCTCTGATTCAACCACAATGACATCGTCGCCGGCCATGGGAAGACCCTTAAGCCCTTCGATCTCGACGGGAACCGCGGGCGTTGCTCGGTCCGTTAGCTTACCGAGCATGTCTCGGATACCTCTGAGTCTTCCCCACTGACACCCAATCACTACGTGATGACCGCTCAGTAAAGTCCCGGCTTTTACAATAATGGTGGCTAATGGTCCACGACCTTTGTCGAGCCGAGCCTCCACAACATATGCTTGAGCTGGTCCGTCCACGCGTGCTTTAAGGTCCATATCCACGGCTTGAAGAAGCAGGGCTTCTTCTAATTTGTCTAGCCCTGTACTCTTTATTGCAGACACCTCAACTACCTGAAACAGAGCCAAACAACCATAATGGACAAAAATTCATATCTCCAAGTAACCGAGAGACCAAAAACCAAACCAAAGAGCTAATAAACCAAGTTGGTTTTATAACCGAACAAAACCGTATTCAGCTTCTAAATTCAAAAACTCAGAGAACACTACTTCTAAGAGTTCAAATTTCAAAACTTTCACCTGAACGTTTCCTCCAATATCCTCAAGCTCTATCCCTTCAGCAGCGAGCTGGTTCTTGACTCTTTCGGGATTAGCTCCTGGTTTATCGCATTTGTTAATCGCAACCACGATCGGAACATTCGCCGACCTAGCGTGCGCGATAGCCTCGAGGGTTTGAGGCATCACACCATCATCAGCAGCAACCACCAAGACGACTATATCAGTCACAGCAGCTCCACGGGCACGCATCTCGCTGAATGCTGCGTGGCCAGGCGTGTCGAGGAAGGTGATCGAAGTGCCGGAATCAGGCATTCCCACCACGAACGCACCAACGTGCTGAGTGATTCCGCCGGCTTCTCTTGCCGCCACTGAGGTGTTTCTTAAAGCGTCTAACAAAGATGTTTTGCCATGATCGACATGGCCCATTACTGTTACAACCGGAGGCCGTGGGAGGATTTCTGATCCTTCTGTGGTGTGTAGCCTCCTTACGTTGATCCCGATTTCCTGAATTACATTAAAGATTCAATCTTGAAAACAGATCCGAACAAAAAGAAACCAATAAATCTCAATTTGGTTAAAAAGGTTATGCTTTTTAATTATCTAAAAACTGAAACCAAATCTTGAACTCTGAAACTAAAAATATATCCGATTAAAAGCCAAAGCCGTGTGAATCAATCCAAAGTAGATTTGGTTTTACATTGCTTACTATTTTCATGAAACCAAAAAAAACTTGAGTTAAGCTCACACACACCTAAAATGTTTGTTTAACCAAATCCAAATCTGAATTGTACCAGACTGATCCATGAAAGATTATGTTTTACTTAGGTTACTATTGTTCAGAAAGAGAATTCAATCTAACTCGATCCCAAACAGTAACTGGAACTAGAGGTAGAATTACCTTACCATTGCAAGGAGCTCAGCTTCATCGACACTGATAGTGTCGAATTCCGAACCAACGGTTTCCCCAACGTTAACAAGAATGCTCTGCAAAATCGCCAATGACTCGCCGGTACGCTTGGAAAGCTCAAGCAACGTCATGCCTTCGAATATGTCGACTGTCTTCTCAGGCAATCCCTTTGCCAATCTTTTCAGCCTAGGAGGCACATAAGGAGCTTCAACAGGTGGCTGATCCGTTTTTTTCTCCCGTTTCGAGAACTTTCCTTTTATTCTCACAGTCTGTTTCTTGCGTTCACGGTGACTCAGCGGACGATCAGGATCCTCCTTTCTTCTCGCCAATGTTTCTCGGCTTGCATGAAAATATCTGTTCAAAGAGTAACCCAACACAGGCCAGTGAACATTTGAACAGATCAAATACAAGAGAGAACGAACTCTAGGAGAATGGTTTACCTTGTGGATGTTCCGGTTGGGACAGATTCACCACTAGAAGACCAATTTGATTGAGAGCTAAAACCGAAACCTACACAAGAACAAGAAGGGTTAGAAAACGTATTGTAACCACCTGTAAATGAACAGCCTTTTTTAGGATTACCATTTATATAACGAGCGAATGAAGAAGAGACACTTCCGGAAGCGTTTCTTGAAACCGTAGAGGAAAGCTGCCTCTCTGTAGATGCTGCTACTCGTGGAAGAACCAAACCTCTTTTAAAAGAGGCTTGAATGCCCTGTAAATACGTTTAAGTTACTTGAAGCATCCGTTAACATATGTGAAATGCTGATAAAGGTGAGACCGAGATACTGAAACGTATGCAAAACTATTCGAAGAATGTGCAAGTAAAAATGCAGACTTATATATATGCCACATGAAACAAACTGCTTCATAATATTTAACTTCCATATTCAACCATTAAATGAAATACGAATAGCTTAGACAATGAACCAACAAAAAAAACAGTTCAAGTTCATCAATGGATAAATACATACTCGTACGTCTAATCACATTCACGCAAATGCAGGTTTACTCCACAAGGAAAACAATGCAGAAAGAAGGTTTTCAATCTAAAACGCCTAAACTGTTAACCAAACGTTCAACAAACATAAATACGACATTTTCCATGGAGATAACAACAAGTGCTCGATAGCCTGACCATTAAAGCTATGCAAAAACTAAGCAAATGCCAGAAAACAAGTATGAAATGGAAGCTAAGGCTAAAAGCTTTTGGCTCAAATCCCTGAGGAAAAATTGGCAAGTTTGATGAAATCCACTAAAAAGAGAGGCAAAGAGTACGAAAAGTACCTTCTTGCCTAAGTGCCTTAACGCCATTCATACGTCAATTAGTCTCTGCATTGAAACGAAAAAACAAAACAAAAACCTCAAATTGATAAGCCTATAAACTTCATTTAGGTCATTTAGAAACAAAAACCAAATTCAGCAGGTAAAAGAAAGAACTTGAGAGAACTAATATCCTAACTGGTTCTTCTCGACCCAAAGCCTATACAAAAACTCCTACTTACACAAACTACAATCAGATTCTTCGTTATCTGTTGGAGATTATATTAGCGTTCTTGGTAAATCTTATTGCTTTTTTTTTTTTGAACAAGGAGACACATAGATTCCTTGGATCGGAGTAAGATTGCACCAAGTAGAATAATGTCGTGAAGATAATCAAGAATTACGTCAATTTTGCAATAAAATAAGGAAGCAACTTCGTCTGGGCAAATGAACGAACACATTGCGTGCATACAAACTCGAAAAACAAAGTCACATCAAATTGAGTGCATATATATATATATCTAACCTTGAAAGCTACGAAAGTATGATCGGCGACGAAAAATCTCCGGTCTAGTGGACTCTTTTCTCAGACAATCGTTGCAGAATAGTCGGAACTGAAAAGAGAAGAAAAAGAATCAAATCCTAGAGAAGAAGGACAAAGATCAAAACTCAAAAGCACTAAAAAAAACCGCATTTTTTATTAGTTCGCCACGTTGAGAAACGTATTTGGGCTTTTTAGTTTTCTCAAACCCAACCCAAGTCCACATTCTTTTAAGCCCAAACAAAATTTATTGCCACCAACATGATCGGTAGAAAACAGGAAAATACTCAATTTTCCTATAAACTAACAAGTTCCCGAAGATTCATATATGACCTATGAATCAATGTTAATAATAACATGAATTATTAAAAAATTTAAAAATTCTACAAAAATCGCATGTAACGTTATTTGCAGCGCTAGAGATTGTTGACTATAACGATATGTGGTGTGAAAAAATAGTTGATTCTCCTATAAACTTTTAAATTCCTGATGATTCATATAAGATCTATGAACCAATGCTAATAACTACATAAACTATTTAAAATTTTGAAAATACTATATAAACTAAAGAAATATAGTCGATTCTACCAAAATCTCACATACATTAAAACTTCTATAAATTAATAATATTGAGACTTCAAATTTTAATAATTTATAGAGTTCATAATCAAAATATTAATTTATAGAGATATTTTTCAGTTCGAATTCTCAAAATTTTATAGTTCATATAGAGCAATCGGCCATTTTCGACCATATTTCTTTAGTTCATACAGTATTTTTAAAATTTTAAATAGTTCATGTAGTTATTAGCATTGGTTCATAGATTATATATGAATCATCAAAAATTTGAAAATTTATAGAGAAATCGGCCATTTTTCACACCACGTGTCGTTCTAGTCAGCAATCACTAACGCTGTAAATAACGTTATATGTGATTTTGGTAGAATCGACTATATTTTTTTAGTTCATGTAGTATTTTCAAAATTTTAGATAATTCATATCGTTATTAGCATTAGTTCATAGATCATATATAAATTGTTAAGAACTTATTAGTTTATAAGAGAATTAGCCGTTTTCTCTAAAAGAAATATATATATATATATATATATATATTCCATTTTTTTTTTAATAAAGGGTTTAGTATTTTTACCCCAATCTTGACAGATATTTAGCTTCGTTAAGTTGTATTATTTATCATTTGAGTGAGAATCCTATGTAAAAGTATTGTAACAAAGTTCAGTTGGATGGGTTTTTAGCATCAAAGTAAAAGTTTTCCGGAATTTAAAGAAGCACAGCAAATTGTTCATTGCACTAAGAAAATCCATTCACAAACATATTTTTTTTTTGAACTAGATTTTTTTTCACAAACATATATAACTATGGATTTTAAACAAAAGCACTTAAAACTCGAATGTTTTAATATGAAATTAACAAATTCAACAAGCTTCCAACCACAAAAATATGAGATTTAGGATAGTAGAAACAAAACCCATCTGTGAAAACTTGTCTGCATCAAACCATAACAGCAAAACATTTCCTCACGTAAAAACTCTTATCATCACCAATCACAACATGATCACACCATTGCACCTTACCCCAAATCTCCCCTCCGTGACGTCTTTCCAAAGCAATCTCCGCACACCAAACATCGATTGTTCCCTTCGGAGCATTCGGTTTATGAAAGAAGAGAGCCAATTTCCCACCGTAACTCACCGTCCTCGACCACAACCTTGAACCGATCATCCCACGCAGCCATTCTTCTTCACCTCTCACCACTCTCCAACACCTCTGCTTTGGATCAAACGCTTTCAACTTGTTTACGTTTATATCGTAATAGTACAATACATCTTCGATGACACACGCATCCTCCCATCCCTCAGAATTCAGCATCTGATCCAAATTCCATTTACTTTCTTTTGGCTCATAAACAAAGCTCTTAAAACGGTTTCTCATGTAAATCTTATCATCCATCACCACAGAATCAGTGAACACGTTGTGTTGCTCCACGTTTAGCTTTTTCATCGCAGGATCCCACTTTTGAGTTTCTGTATCCAACACCATCACTCCCTCAGAGTCGATTACGTAAATCTTACCGTCGATGATGTCACCGACCCTACGACATGTTCCGCGCTTAGGAATGCCGAAGATTGGCTGCACCGTGTGGGATCCACAGTCGATGCTTAACGTATCGTAAAACTCTCCACCCACCACATATATCTTGGAACCCACGGCTACATACAATCCACAGGGATCGATAAGAGGAAGCGACCGGATAATGACCAAGCGACTGCTGTTGACTTTCCGGCGGAAGATACACAAACGGCATTCTTTGGTGTGGATGCTATACAAGGCGGCATAGAGACAGTTTTCGGTGCGGCCTAACAAGGATCGTCTTGTATATAGCTCAGGCGAGGCAACGAGTGATTGAAAACTCTTGGAAACGAGGGAGATAGTCGGATAGTAGCATATCGGTAAACGTGCCACGATATCCACAATCAGGTCATACGGAAGTGACATGGTCGCCTCTCCTTCTCTGCCCTAACTTTGTAAGATATTTATAGAATTAGGGCTCAAATCAAGAATCACCGACTTAGAGAGGAAACCACAAAATCCTTTCTTTAACTCATAACTATCTAAGTATATCTCAGGTTGAGTCAATCTCCAGCTTTGGTTTGTGACCTAGCTCTCTTCAATATCGATTAGGTTTTTCTCTCCTGTCTCTGAATAAAAGAAAAATATGATAATATGAATTTTAGAATTAATAAGATAAAGTGATAAACCATGTATAATAAATAATAGGAAAGAAAAAGCCTCGTATTGAGAGAGAGGTCTTGCCTTTCAACGGTGAAACCGATATTGGGCCAACATATCAAAAGATCATTTAAAGAAGAAAGGGATATACACACGAAGCCCATTTCTTCTCAGAAACTTTTCATCGTACGCTTTCTTTTCAAGCTTTCACTCAAGAAAGAGGTCTCTAAAATAACACCATGTTCACATTCATCATCTTTAAAATACAACTTTGTTTCCTACTGAACTCAACTCTTTTTCACTGGGAACATGGGTATTTCATATAGATACTTTATTTTTTTCCCATTGGATGCTTCTGATTGGTTAAGTTGAAACAATATAGACTAATAATAGAAAACAGAAAACAACGTTTCGCAACGTTTAGTGAGTTAATTACACTTACATACATTTTTTCTCATTTTCTTGTACAAGTTTGCACACATATAGAGCATGTGGCACACTTTCTCATTTTAAAAAAACCAATATACCTTTTTATTACTCTTTTGATAACTAATTTTTATTGTTACAATTTTTACAACAAAAAATACATTTCACTCTTCCACCATTAATACAAAAATCCAGTTTATCATCACCGTAATTAAAGTTCGGTGGAATTATTTTCACCACCGATAATTTGACGGATAAATTCATATTCATCGGCGCTCACATCATTTTCTAATTAAACATATTTATTATTGAGTTAACTTGAACAATCTTAGTCCACTAATTGGCATCTGAATCTGAAAAATTTTAATCCCATAGAACTTGAATTCTTACTTCAATCACATACAAAACCCCTTAATAGCTTTCATTAAAGCTTTTATATGAACATAAACTTATAGATAAACTTAAAAATTACAGTTCACACGATGACTTTAATCAGAGTTCTCAGATCTACTCTGATACAACCATCATCGTCATCTTGGTTCTCGATGTGGAAGATGAAATGGTTCTTTGTCCATCGATATTGAGATGCATGTACAACATTGTGTGGACATGGTAGTGTGGACAAAGTGGGTGTAGACATTGGGCATACATATTATAAAATCCTCAATTCATTCATTCATCCATAGTCTCTTTATTTTGACCATTTGCCTGATGGACCATTTACGATGGACAAACTTACACTATTTTTAAAAATAAAACACCTTAGCATATCATTTGGAGCTGCTATTGCTGCCATTTTGCTCAAGGCACCATGGACAAGGCACCGTGGACAAGGAAACATGAACAATTATCTATGGACTTTTTGTTTGCTTAGCTCAATGTCTTTACATATTTGAATGGTATATAATAGTTGCAAATATTTTGATGCCTTTATGATAGTCTTTTCATCTTACTTTAACTTTTTACGAGGATCAAGACATGAGAACAAAAACTGATTATAACATTTATTTCCATCTCTTGTTGAATTCCAAATGTCCTTAATTTAAGATAGTTTATTTTTAAGAATTCACAATGAAGCAGACAAAATAGTTCAAAGGGATGGAGAAGAGTAGAGATATTCCCTTTTTTATAAATAGAGTATACGTTTGTCCACAATTACTTTTTTATCAAAAACATTCTTCCAATTACTTGACACATCAGTATAGATGATGATGTTCAAGCATACATGATGATCAAGCTCTTTTTCATCTTTGATTTCATATTCAGAATCACTATCACCGTGTTGGTTCTCCGTCATCACACTATTTGCAGAATCACTATCACCGTGTTGGTTCTCCATCGTCAGATCTAATCTGATACAACCATCATCGTCATCTTGGTTCTCGATGTGGAAGATGAAATGGTTCCTTGTTGTCCAATTTGGAGATAACCAGAACCTGAGATAAATAGCTCATTTATGGGATCATGTCTTGTTAACTTATGAATTATAACATTACAATCTCTTTTAATATGAGTTATTTCAACAGATTTAAATTTAGTTAACTAGCCTCTAATGTCGTCAACTATATTAGTTACACTAATATCTTGGTCATTGTTACATATCAAGTTTACTAAAATCTGACAATCGCCTTCGAAAGACAGATAGTCGAATCCCATGCTACATGAATTTTGGATAGCGGCTAATAATTCTTTGGCTTCTGCTTCAAGACTTGAAATTGTAGATTCCAAATCAATTACTTCCCAATATTTATTGTTACCACATGAATCACTTATAATCCAACCACCACTAGAATGTAGAGTATGAGGATCAAATGCAGCATCGTAGTTGCATTTGAGATAGCCTAGAGGCAGTTTTTTCCATGATTTTGGCAGGGGAGAAGTGATTCCATTTACTGGTTGTTGAGTAGTTGTGTTCTTAATCCATTCAGTTACATCTGCCAAGGCTTTGTTAACATCTTTTCCAATCATAATTTGGTTCTTTTGAAAAATTAAATTATTTCTAGATTTCCATATGCGCCAAAGTATCTAAAAGGGTTGTAACTTATCAATCTTAGCTAAACTTGCGATTGCTTGCAAATCAAGAAGAAGTCGTATGATATTCTCAGTATTTGTGAAAGGATGGTAAGGAAATTAAATGATGTTTTGGCTCTTCTTCATGTTGATATCAATACAGGAAAATCAAAGAATAGGTGTTGTATTGTTTCTAATGCAATTCTACAGCGGATAAAAATAATAGGGATTGCAACTCCACGATTTTGAAGTCTCGTAGCAGTTCCAATAGCTTTTGATAAAATTTTCCATAAAAAGTATTTTAGTTTAGGCATTATTTAGAGTTTATATATTTGAATTTTAAAAATTGGATAACGGTAAGGTATTGGAGGGGCAGCCAATTGAACTTTTGGCTGATGTCGGAGAAACCAGTAGTTGGATTTAAAGTTCTAACATATTTGATCTTTACTACTGCCTTGTCTTAAGTAAATCTTTTTCACAAGGTCAAGATCAGCATCAGAAAGATTAGCAGTTAAATCAGAGTCATTCCAACGTTTTGTTGCTGATAGTAGTAATTAAATCTTTCACCAATAGAGTAGAATTCTGGTTTCCACCATCAGTCGGTTTAGGGGGGATAAAGAGGGAAGCCAGTTATGAGCGAAAAATTTTGCTTGTGTCCATACCAATAATAGCCTGAGAACCTTTTTTGATTAAATCAATGCCACACAGGATAGATGTCTAACCATACGATTGGCATCAACATCAAAAATGTGATCTTCATTGAAGTATCAGATGATTCATCATCATTCCTTAGCAAACACGATATAAACATCATACATAGTTATTGTTGTCTTTTTTTTGTTCATCATGAACTTTCTTTGCTTTGGGAATACAAGAAATAAACTATAGATTCGGAGTCACCTGCTGAAGCAGACTATCGACCACTATAGTGTTGTGAAGGAGTTAATATGCTTAAATTCAATCAATTGTTCTGTATTCACAATCTTACATTACCAATATTCCATTTCTCACATAAGTATTCGCTCGTGTCTTGGCTAACTATGTGTAACCGGCTCTCTACCTAGGATCGTATGGCCAGTTGGAACGTCAGAGCGAATGCATCATGTAGTCTTTGCCAACATCTGATGGAAACAAGGAACCACTTCATCTTTGGATGCAGCTACTCAGCGTAGTATGGGGGAACCTTACTCAGAAACTGCTTTTCGCGGACTATACAACAGAGTGGGACACGATCATCTGGTGGATGAATCCAGAGAACGCATTTCTCAGTTCCTGCTGCGATATGCTTTCCAGGATACGATTCATACCATTTGGCAGGAACGGAATAGTAGAAAGCATGGTGATGCTCCTACTATGTCTCCCCAATTAGCCCGCTTGATAGACAAGCAAATTCGGAATAAGCTCACTACAATCAGAACTCAAGGGGACACTTGTTACGAGAAAGGGATGGAGAAGTGGTTTTCGATCTGATAACCAGCTGGAAAGTGAGGAGGCGCATAGTAGTTTCATTCTCGCTTCAAATTAGGATACATTCTTTGTAACATTTTTTTGGCTGGATTAATTTAACATATTTCCATTCAAAAAAAGTAATCCATTGCTCAATCGTAAAACCAAACACATTGACTATATTTTTACGACAGTAAACACAAATACAAAATTTTCGTCTTGTACTTAAAAAGATTAAGAATGGATTGATCACGACTCTTAATCTTCTCACGACTCATCAACTTGAGGATTTTACATACCACTCCCTCCAATCTATTTCTATTTTACAGGAAAAAGAAAGATTGTTAGTTTTTTCTCCAATTATAGTGGAAAAAAATAATATTTTCATTTTTCCTCTAAGTTAGAAAATTTAAATGGGTTGGAGATACTTTAATCCAAAAATATAGCCTGAGATTTTTACAAAAAATCAAAGTCGTGAATATTCATTTTTACTTTCACTTCTACTTCTTATTCATATATACAATATTATAAAAAAATGTTTGCTAAGAGAATTTAGAATTTATTTTTCTATCCGTTTATTTTTTTGGTTTCATTTATAACTTCAAATTCTTGCTATATAATGAGAATGCATTCACATATGATATAAACATTTTTTTTTTTAAAAAATGAGTTTATTTAGTTTTAACTTAACCAATCAAAATTTTTTATTTATTTTAGAAAATTCGCTATGTCATATTTCCAGATCATCATTCATTTACACTAACTTTTTTTCTGGTTGTCAAATAATATTAAGGATAGTAATTTAATATTTATTGCCAGTGACAAAAGGCAACGTTATATATTTGTAGGTTTAAATTACTATACATACATGTAGTGTATATGTGATGGTAATGATCAACAAATCACCATAAAATAATATGTAACTTCTAAAAAGTAAAATTTACTTATTACTTTTTGATGACTATTAAATGTAGAATTTTCAATTTGCTAGTTAATGTTCCTTAATGACACAATACAAACTATACAAATTTCACCGATACATTTTTAAAAAAGGTAAACTTTTGTATTGACGAAATATGTATATATAAGTATAATTTGCATTCGATGAAGAAAATAAGACTCACAAAGTTAGAAATAAACAGTATGACATTAGATTGGCTTGTCTTAGCTATCTCATTCTTCGCTTCAGTGGTCACATGTGGCTCGATTTATCTTACTTATAAAGCTTGTGTATGTTGTTGCAATGAACGCTTCGACCGGAACCGGATTGAACCCAATTTGGGCTAAACCGTTATTATTTGTATTATTTATATATCGTCTATTTCATGTTCATGTTTTATTTTGATTTCGTTTCATGATTTTTTTGTGATGAAACTTTTAGATTAGTAATTCTTATAATAATCGGACAGATTATGCAATGCTGCGATATTATCAATGATATTTCTTTGATTTATTTTTGTTTTGTAATTCTGTTGTTCAATGATTTTGTCATTCTTCTATTACGTGTAAAAGAAGAACCCTCCTGCTTGAGCTCAATCATAACAACGACATCACCTTTGTATTCCTTCCTTAACCTCGACTCTCAGAAAACTGGCAAACTTTAATTACTACTGCCATCCACAATAATGCCCAATAATTCGGTTTTCTATAAAAGAACCCATTAGAGTAACTTGGGAAATGTATATCTTGCGGACTTTCTATAAAGTGAAATTCATAAACCAGTAAGAAGATTATTGTAGATCTTGATATATATTATTAACATATTTTTTTAGGGTTTAGAAAAGTTTAATATTGCCACTATATATATGTACTTTATTATCACTAGGTTACTACCCACGATCGTAAGGGATAAGGTTTGTAAAATAATTAAAAAATAATTGATTTTATTTTAATTTATATATATTTATATTGATTTTATATTGATGATTTTGACTATATATTAATTTTATACCATATATTTGTATCTATTGTATGCATGACATTTTTAAAATTCATATTTTTTTTTCATTTTAGAATTATGTGAATACCTAAAAATATGACTTCATCCTTCTTTATTTTATTGGTTTAGGTTATATAGTAGTATAAGATTTTTAACATGTAAAATATATTATTTTTGTATTAATATACAGTAAAGAATTTTAGAAAAATAAAATCAATACTAATCATACACGAAATTTAGAAAATTTCAAAGTACATAATACTATATATTGATTTATATATATATATATATACTAATAAATGATAATGTAAGATAAAGCAACAAAGATAATAAGCAAAGAGAGTTTTTAACATCAAAAGAAACAAAAACACATACTCAAAGAAAAAAAATTCGAAAGAAATTACATGTTTGGAGAGAAAACAATACAATATCACCACCAGGATCTGACCACTTTGCTAATTTATACCTATAAAAAACACTATTTAACATTAGTCACCAACATTTCAATATCTAAAGATAAAAAAAAAATTATAGACAATGAACAATGCAATCTGAAACTATTGTAGAGGATATAGTTTTTTATTTATAAAGAAGAGATTGTGTGCTAAAAAATCTACCTTTAGCCCGAAATTTAAAATTTCATAAATTTGATATTAATTATTTAATTTTTGCTTTGTTTAGATATTTCAGAATATCTTGTTAGGTTAGTTAAAGAAATTCGAAAATTTGATAAATCTGTATATTGGTTTGTTAAAGATATATTCCCATATTTTTAAATTGATTTGTTTATATATGAAATTATTTATGACTATTATTTCAAGATTTATGTTGCTAAAAGCATCTTTTTCCATATGTAAATATTTATTATCATTTAATGACAATCAATTTTGGAAATTAGTTGACTTATCAGTTAATGGTATTTAATTTTGAAAATAGTTGATTAAATAATAATTTTTTTATTGAAAAACAATTACTTAATTAGAGCATTATAAAATTAAATACCATTAATTGATCTATCAAATAATTATTTTGAAAATGTTATACAAATAAGAATTTTTGTTAGAATATGTTTTAATTTTTGAACTTTCAATTATTTTGTGTAAAAAAATTATTAACAAACGTTTGAAAATAAGAATATTATGTAAATTCAAAATTTTAGTTAATTATTTCAAAAAATCGAATTAAAGAGAAGGTGAAACAAAATAGAATTAATTAAAAGAAAGAATTTTTACATTTAATATAGTGTTTGGCAATAAGAGTAGCCTAATAAATTAATTAAATTTTAAAGTGAGAAAAAAGAGATAATGACACATCAGCCTATAATGCTTTCTGTTTAATATGGTTTAATATATAAATAGTGTCCAACTCTGATTAGTATAAAGTCTTTTGGGAGAAGTCTAAAGACAAATTCGTGTGGGCTTTACCATCTGGACCCAAATTTAACGATTGAAAGTCGTTATTATATAGTGATGGTCTGATGGAAATGGAATGGTTTAGTTTGAATTGGATATGTGCAATTTGAGCTTCAATTAGCTAAGTTCATGACTTGAGGACATGGCTATAGTCTATTAGTCCCTTGATGAACTGATGAGAGTAAAAACACGTAGGTTTTAAAAGATTTAAGAATTTGAAGCACTAAGAAATCTATTTTCCAAAACATTACGGAGTTTTAACAAAGCACTCAAATTCAAAAGTCAAACAAACTCCCAACCCCAAAATCAGATCTATAGGATATTGGAAAGAAAAGCGATCTAAAGGTGGAGAAAGTTATCTCCACGAAGGAGAGTTTCTTCCTCAAATCGTAACAGCTAAACATTTGTACAAAGTCTCCCATCACCATTATTAAACAAAACATCACACCATTGCACCATTGCACCTTACCCCAAATCTCTCCTTCTTGGCGTCTTTCCAAAGCAATTTCCGCACACCAAATCTCCCTTAGAGGAGTTTTATGAAAGAACAGAGCCAATTTCCCACCGTATCTCACCGTCCTCGACCCCGATGAACCAGTCGTCTTACTCAACAATTCTTCCAAACCTTTTACCACTCTCCAGTACCTCTGCTTTGGATCATACGCTTTCAACTCGTTCATGTACATTACATCATGACGACACACGCACCCCTCCATTATGTACACGTGCGACGATATAAACGATTATGTCATATGGAAGTGACATCATGAGAGATGGCGGTTGCTCCACCTTCTTTGCCCTAGCTCTGGAAGACATCTATAGAAGTTAGGGAACCTCAAATCCTTTCTTAGTTCCTAGTTACTCTGGTTGAATCAATATCGATCCTACCTAGCTCTCTTTTTTTTCTTTTTCTTTTTTTTTTTAAACTTACTTTATTCTTTTCTTCTTTCCCAAGAATGGGCATTGTTTCGAATACATCACAAGTTTTATTTGTAAAATTCGTTTTTCTTTTACTTCTTTTCGTTGTGATGTATTACTACCTAGCTCTCTTTTATCGATAATGTTTTTTTTTGTTGCAAACTACAGCTAATCTCTTGAAGGAAAAAGGAAGATATGAAATATATTAATATCATAAAAAGGGTTAAAACGATTGATCCAAACATAAAAAAAAAACAAATACAATCTGCAAAAGCAACCTTGTCAATATAATTCTTCTCCAGTGGTTAGTTAAGTGGCTAGCCATTTGATCCAAAGATGTCACAAACTAAAATATTGTAATTCAACCGTCAACAAACTCCCAACCCCAAAATCAGATCTATAGGATATTGGAAGGCGAGTTTCTTCGTCAAACCGTAACAGCTAAACATTTGTCCACGATACAAAGTCTCCCATCACCATCATTAAACACAACATCACACCATTGCACCTTACCCCAAATCTCTCCTCCGTCGCGTCTTTCCAAAGCAATCTCCGCACACCAAAGCTCCATTGTCTTTGTAGGACCATTCGGATCTTTATGAAAGAAGAGAGCCAATTTCCCACCGTAACTCCCCGCCTTCGACCTCCATGAACCGGCCATCTTATTTGAAAATTCTTCCAAACCTTTCACCTCTCTCCAGCACCTCTGCTTCGGATCATACGCTCTCAACCCCTTCATGTAACTATTATAATAGTAGATTACATCATCGACGACACACGCACCCCTCCATTCCTCAGAATTCAGCATCTGATCCGATTCCCATTTATTTTCCTTTGACTCATAAACAAAGCTATTATCATAATTTCTCATGTAAATCTTATCCCCCATCACCACAGAACCATCAATATACGTTTTGCCTAGCTCCACATCTGGCTTTTTCATCGAAGGATCCCACTTTTGAGTTTCTGTATCCAACACCATAACTCCTTCAGAGTGGATTACGTAAATCTTACCGTCAATGATGTCACCGACCGTAGGAAATTTCCTGCGCTTATGAATGCCGATGTGCTGCACCGTGTGAGATCTACAGTCGATGCTTGACGCCTTCCATGTACGTTCCGTACCATCGTAAAACTCTCCACCCACCACATATATCTTGGAACCCACGGCTACGTACAATCCATAGGGATCCATAAGAGGAAGCGACCGGATAATGACCAAGCGACTGCTGTTGACTTTCCGGCGGAGAATACACAAACGCCATTCTTTGGTGAGGGTGTTATATAGGACGGCATAGAGACAGTGTTCGGTGCAGCCTAACAACGATCGTCTTGTATATAGTTCAGGCGAGGCAACGAGAGATTGAAAACTCTTGGAAACGAGAGAGATAGTCGGATAGAAGCATATCGGTAAACGTGCCACGATATCCACAATTAGGTCATATGGAAGTGACATGGTCGCCTCTCCTTCTCTGCCCTAACTTTGTAAGATATCTATAGAATTAGGGCTCAAATCAAGAATAACCGACTTAGAGAGGAAACCACAAACATCCTTTCTTTAATTTATAACTATCTATATCTCAGGTTTGAGTCAATCTCTGGCTTTGGTTCGTGACCTATCTCTCTTCAATATCGATTAGGTTTTGCCTTTCAACGGCGAAACCGATATTGGGCCAGCATATCAAACCACGAAACCGATATACACACGAAGCCCATTTTTTCCCAGAAACTTTTCATCATGCGCTTTCTTTTCAAGCTTTCACTAAAGAAAGAGGTCTCTAAATATAACACCATGTTCACATTCATCATCTTTAAAATACGACTTTGTTTCCTACTCAACTCAACTCTTTTTCATTGGCAAGATGGGTATTTCATATAGATACTATACTTAAAACATTCTGGCTATTGACTGCTGCTGCTTGGTTAAGTTCAAACAATAATTAATAACAGAAAACAACGTTTTGCAACTTCTTCTTTCTCCTATCCGACTTTTCTCAGTCCACTACTAAGAGACTAAAATCAACAAAAATAATAATCATAGAGCTTTAGAAGAAGAATATATGCGACACCAAGAGTTGGATGGGTTTTTGGCAACAAAGCAAAAGTTTTGCGGAATATAAATAATCACAGCAAAGATTTTTTTTTTTTTACCCCAATCTTGAAAGATATTAGCTTCGTTAAGTTGTATTTATCATTTGAGTAAGAGAATCCTCTCTATGTATATAAAAAAAGTTTTGTGGTAACAAAGTTTAGTTGGATGGGTTTTCGGCATCACAGCAAATTGTTCATTTCACTAAGAAATCCATTCACAAACATATAACTATGGATTTGAAACAAAAGCACTTAAACTCGAATGTTTTAATTTGAAATTAACAAATTCAACAAGCTTCCAACCATAAAAATGAGATCTAGAGTAGTAGAAACAGAACCCATCTGTGAAAACTTGTCTGCATCAAACCATAACAGCTATACATGTGAACAGGTTAAAAGTCCCATCACCATCATTAAACACAACATCACACCATTGCACCTTACCCCAAAACTCTCCTCCTTGGCGCCTTTTCCAAAGCAATCCCCACAAAGCAAAGCTCCCTTGTTCCCTTCGGACCATTTTCCCACCGTAACTCACCGTCCTCTGACTCCATGAATTGGCCATCTTACTCAACAATTCTTCCAAACCTCTCACCACTCTCCAACACCTCTGCTTTGGATCATATACTTTAAACTCGTTCACCTTTACATCGTAAAAGTACAATTCATCGTTGACGACACACGCATCCCACCATTCCTCAGAATTCAGCATCTCACCCAATTCCCATTTGTTTACCTTTGTCTCATAAGCAATGCTCTTATAATCATCTCATGTAAATCTTATCCTTTATCATCACAGACTTATTTATCCAAATGTGGCCTAGCTCCACGTCTGGCTTTTTCATCACAGGATCCCACTTTTGAGTTTCTGTATCAAACACCATGACTCCCTTTGAGTCGATTACGGAAGTCTTACCGTCAATAATGTAAGCGACCTCACTACTTTTCAGGCTCTTAGAAAAGCCGGAGATGGGCTGCATCGTGTGAGATCTACAGTCGATGCTTATCGCACATGGCATATTGAAATAGCAAAACAGTTCACCCACCACATATATCTTGGAACCCACGGCTTCGTACGTTCCAAAGGGATCCTTAACAGGAAGCGACCGGATAATGACCAAGCGACTGCTGTTGACTTTCCGGCGGAGAATATACAAACGGCTTTCATCGGTTTTGTAGTTATATAGGACGGCATAGAAACAGTGTTCAGTGCAGCCTAACAATGATCGTCTTGTGTATAGCTCATGCGATGCAACGAGTGATTGGAAACTTTTGAAAACGAGAGAGATAGTCGGATAGTAGCATCTCGGTACACGTGCCACGATATCCACAATTAGGTCATATGGAAGTGATATCATAAGAGACTGCGGTAGCCTCTCCTTCTCTGCCCTAACTTTGGAAGACATATATAAATCAAGAATCACCAACTTAATTAGAGAGGAAACCACAAAGCCCTTTCTTTAATTCATAATTATATATATATCTCTCACGTTGAGTCAATCTCGATCTTCTCCAGCTTTTGGTTCGTGGCCTAGCTCTCTTCTATCGACTAGGTTTTTCAAATTAGCTAATCTCTCCGGTCTCTTAATAAAAGAAAAAGATTATACGAATTGTAGAATTAATAAGATAACCATGTAGTAGTATAACTAAAATGGGATAAAAGGTGGATAGCAATGTTTGAGGGTTTTATTAGTAAAATAGCAAGAAACTTATGCATTAGAAGAAAATAGAAAATAGCTAAAAGATATCGAAAAGAAATTTGTTGCTTCAATTAATTATATATTGTGCCACCGACCGCTCATGGTTGTAGTAGGAAATTAAGTGAATATGGACAAATAAATAAAGTGAAATGAACTGTTATATGTTTGGTTATATACAGTGTATGGGAAACTACCTCCAATGATAATATGTTATATTATATTCAAATTATACTATAGAGTTAATGCTATATCGTATTATACACAGTTACATATATATGAAACATCTATACACTAATACTAAAGTTAACATATTATCTAATAAAATTAATAAATTAAATAAAATATTATAGATATAGATTTACATATTAACATGATATAAGAAAGAAGTTAAAATGTTAAAAAAACATATAACTTGACATTTAAATATATATATATATATGTTTATTATTTTAGACCTATATATAAACTTATAGATATAGCTTACCTAATAAAAGTTTATATTTAACAATATAGACATATATTGATTATTTTAGACCTTTATATAAAATTATAGATATAGATTACAAGAAAAAAGAAATAAATTAACATGTTAAGAAAACATTAACTTTACATTTTATTATATATATATGTAATTATTATTATGTAGGAAACCATGTGTTATTTATTATTTTAGACATGTATATTTATAAATAGTGTGTGATTTCATAAACAATTAAAAAAGAGATTGAGAATACCGAAGATAGATCCGAGTTCTCCAAAATGTTTAGACATCAAATCAAAAAAAATTGTTTGATAAAAAATCAGATTGGGCAAGATTCTTCATCTTGAACCATGTTTCTTTTGGAATCTCACCAAATCTGTTAAATTGTTGAGATCTAGAGAGGAAAGTCAAGAGATTTGGAGGAGAAGATCAAGAGAGAGACTATATGTATATATATCAAAAAATTGTTGGTAGAGAGAATCAAGAAATTGTTGGCTGAAAAAGATGAAAACGGTGCCGGAAGAAAATGAAAGTGGTGTCGCAAAAGTGAATTGGAAAGATGTGTTAATTAACAGAAGAATACGGCATATATGTGTCTAGGTATTTAATTATTAATTTTTGATGGACACTACTTAGACATGTATTGATAATTTTGGATGTAAATTTTTCTGATAATAAGTTAGATAGCGCGTGAGGATAAAACAGAGAAAAAATATAGTTAAATATTTTAATGTTTGGACTTTGAAATACCCTATATCAATTAATTAATTTACTACTGGTCTTTTACCATTTGTTGGTATTTCCCAATTAAAATTAGGAAAGAAAAAGCCTCGTGTTGAGACAGAGGTTTTGCCTTTCAACGGCGAAAGAAAGGCGAAACCAATATTGGGGCAACATAACAAAGATCATTTGGAGAAGGAAGGGATATACACACGAGGCCCATTTCTTCCCGGAAACTTTTAATCACCCGCTTTCTTTTTCTCTAAGTTTTCTCAAAAGTTTTTACTAAAAAAAGCTAACACCATGTTCACATTCATCATCTTTAAAATACAACTTTGTTTCAACCGTTATAATAATTAAAACAAAATATAATGGTAGACTAATTTGCATGTACTTTCAATTCAGATACCCACTCGCAAATATACTTTAGGTTTTTGTGTGTATTCTTGGTTTCTCCTTGATTATAAGGAAATACAATAAATAAGAGACTAAAATCAACAAATATAGTAGTAAACATAGGTGGGTGGGGTTTTGGCATCAAAGCAAAAGTCTTGCAGAATATAGATAATCACAGCAAAGAGAGGCTTTGGTTGGTTCATGAACTAAGAAATCCATTCCCAAACATGCTATGAATTTTAAACAAAGCACATAATTAACTGGAATGTTTTAATATAAAAATTAACAAACTCAACAAGCTACCAACCACCAAAAACAGATTTAAAGAGACTTAGGGAATTTGGTGAAAACTTGTCTGCATCAAACCATAACGTCTAAACACATGCCCACGTAAAAACTTCTCCCATCATCAAACACAACATCACACCGTTCCACCTTACCCCAAATCTCTCCTCCTTGGCGTCTTTCGAGAGAAATCTCCGCAAACCAAACATCGATTGTTCCCTTCCGAGCATTCGACTTATGAGAGAACAGAGCCAATTTCCCACCGTAACTCGCCAGCTTCGACCACCGTGAACCGATCATTCTAGGCAACCATTGTTCCACACCTTTCACCACTCTCCAGCACCTTTGCTTTGGATCATACGCTCTTATCTCCTTCACGCAAGTATCGTAACAGTACAATACATCGTCGACGACACACGCATTCCTCCATTCCTTAGAATTCAGCATCTCATCCGATTCCCATTTATTTTCCTTTGGCTCATAAACAAAGCTATTATCATAATTTCTCATGTACATCTTATCCCCCATCACCACAGAACCATCAATATACGTTTTGCCTAGCTCCACATCTGGCTTTTTCATCGCAGGATCCCACTTTTGAGTTTCTGTATCAAACACCATGACTCCCTCAGAGTTGATTACGTAAATCTTACCGTCGATGATTTCGGCGACACTATCATATTCGATGCGCTTGTCGGAGATGGGGTGCACCGTGTGAAATCTACAGTCGATGCTTAAGGCACTCCACGTCATATCGAAATAGGAAAACTCTCCACCCACTACATATATCTTGGAACCCACGGCTACGTACTTTCCCTCGGGATCCATATGAGGAAGCTACCCGATAATGACCAGGCGATTGCTGTTTACTTTCCTAAAGAGAGTATACAAACGTTGTTCATTGGTTTCCTCGTTACAGAGGACGACATAGAGACAGTGTTCGGTGCAGCCTAACAAAGATCTTCTCGTGTATAGCTCAAGCGACGCAATGAGTGATTGGAAACTCTTGGAAACGAGAGAGATAGTCGGATAGTAGCATCTCGATACACGTGCCACGATATGCACGATTAGGTCATATGGAAGTGACATCATCAAAGACGGCGGTTGCTCCTCCTTCTTTGCCCTAGCTCTAGAAGACATCTATAGAAGTTAGGGCTTGAACCAAGAATCACCGAGGTAGAGAGGAAACCGCAAATCCTTTCTTAGTTCCTAATTATCTATAACCCTGGTTGAATAAATATCGATCTTCTCTAGCTTTTGTTCACGGACCTAGCTCTCTTTTATCGATAATGTTTTTTTTACAAACTACAGTTAGTCTCTTTGAAAAGAAAAAGGAAGATATGAAATATTAAATAATTTGAATAATGAATAGGATAATTATATACTTTTAGCCCAAATAAAACAAAATTTTTTTTACTTCCCTGTTTTGAGTTTCTGAATTTGTTAAAACGATAGATAATGGTGTCCAAAAAAGGGTTAAAACGATTGATCCTACGTACCGTTTTTTTTAAAAAAAAAACAAATACATTCTGCAAAAGCAACCTTGTCAATATAATTCTTTTTTTTTATATATAGCTATTCAATATAATCCTTCTCCAGTGGTTGGTTATGTGGATAGCCATTTGACCAAAGATGCCAAGAACCTTACATAGCAATCAGGAGATGTGATGTCACAATTTGATTCTAGAACAAGTTCGTCATCTATTCTACAAACACTCTGCAGATAAACCACAAAATTTGAAGTTAGTGATTTATTTACAGTTCTTAAATTCTTCAACGAGTTTCAATCATTCTGTGTTAAGAGGATCCGCATAAACATACTTTCCCCCACAGCTTATCTTCATCGACTACAAAGTAAGGGTTTTTGAAATGGTTCGTTGATTAATTTATTGTGGTGACAACAATGTCAAGAAACAAAAGCGTCTTATAGATTATGTCATTTATACCTCATTCTTAGAGTTCATCATGAGAGTTGAGTGCCATTCCATGAGAAGAAGCAACGATCTTAAAACTGAAGACTAAGAAGAGTTGCATTGGTTTTTTAATCAGAATATGTTACCTACCTTAGTCCATAAAAACTTCCACTGTAGGTCAGATCTTATTCTCTTTGGATATATGATTTCTCCATTTTAAACGGATTAAAATCTAGGACCAACTTGAGCCTTATATTAATGCTGCACTTAGAAGCATTAATCGATTAGTCTCTAAACCGATTATGGCTCGGGTTTAAGCTTCTCCTTCTCTGGTTTACACTGTAACGTGTGCCCCCCTCTCTGTAAACCAAACCCACAAACCAATTAAGAAAGAAGAAAATCTCATATAATGTACAATAGTAATTTTATATTTATTGCCACTGACAAAAGGCAATGTTATATATTTTGTACGTTTAAATTACTATAAATACATGTAGTATATATGTGATGGTATGAATGATCAGCAAAGTACCATAAAATAATATGCAAACTTCTAAAAAGTAAAATTTACTTATTACTTTTTGATGACTATTAAATGTAGAATTTTCAATTTGCTAGTTAATGTTCCTTAATGACAAAATATAAACTTTACAAATTCAACCGATACATTTTTAAAAAAGGTAAACTTTTTTTTTTGTCGAAATATGTATATATAAGTATAAATTGCATCGGACTAACAAAATAAGACACAAAAAGTTAGAAAGAAACTATTTTATGTGTGTGTGGTGGGGTGAATAAACAGTATGTTAATTTGGATTCTCCTAGCTATCGCATTCTCCGCTTCAGGGGTCATGTGCGGCTTGCTTTATCTTACTTGTAAAGTTTGGAGATGGTGTCACACAGAACGCTTCGACCGAAACCGGATTGAACCCAATTTGGGCTAAACCGTTATTATTTGTATTATTTATATATCGTCTATTTCATGTTTGTGTTCTACTTTGATTTCGTTTCATGAATCTTTTCGTGTTGAAACTTTAAATTAGACATTCTTATAAAAATCAGACGACAGATTATGCAATGCTGCAATATTATTTTTATTTTATTTTGCTTTAATGATATCGTAATTCTGTTATATACTACTATATGTTTCAATGATTTTGTTGTACACGAAAGGATTAAGAACGGGTCAAGACCATTGGCAAGAGAGTCTGTACAAACATTAAGACTCAATCCAGCAATACGAACCTATAGGCCTAAAAAAAACGAATAAAAAAAAGTAAAAAAACAAGTAAAGTCTTTTTGTAGCCATATGATTGATAAACGCTAGGGAATGAGAAAAACAAATACCTGCGAAAAAAAAAGAATTCGATGGGGTTTTTTGGTATCAAAGTAAAATTTTTTGCATAATTTGTTTGCAAACAGTTCATACGGAATGCAGCAAGACGTGCATCGAAAGTCACAACAGCACCTTCAGAGCTAATAACAATTTCAAGATTCATATAGCTAAATTATCAACTACAAGATGTAAAGTTACTTTTCCATACTCAAAAGAGTTTTATTTCATCCAATTCTGTTGTGCTGCAATTGAGAATCAATCTGTTTAGTAGTTTGACGAAATTCGTTTATTATATAGTGATGGAAATGGAATGGTTTACTTTGAATTAGATATGTGCAATTTGAATTTCAATTAGCTAAGTTCATGACTTGACAACATGGCTTTAGCTATCAGATCAGTCATAGAATCGTATAATTAGTCCCTTGATGAACTGATGGGAGTAAAAAAACACGTAAATTTTATAAGATTTAAAAGAAATCCATTTCCCAAAACATTACGGAGTTTTAACAAAGCACTAAAATATTGTAATTCAACAGTCAACAAACTTCCAACCCCAAAATCAGATCTATAGGATATTGGAAAGAAAAGCGATCTTAAAGGTGGAGAAAGGTATCTCCACGAAGGGGAGTTTCTTCGTCAAACCATAAGAGCTAAACATTTCCTCACGAAAAAACTCTTACCATCATCAAACACAACATCACACTATTGCACCTTACCCCAAATCTCTCCTCCGTCGCGTCTTTTCAAAGCAATCTCCGCACACCAAAGCTCCATTGTCTTTGTAGGACCATTCGGATCTTTATGAAAGAAGAGAGCCAATTTCTCACCGAAACTCACCGTCTCCGACCCCCATGAACCGGCCGTCTTACTCAACAATTCTTCTACACCTCTCACCGCTCTCCAGCACCTTTGCTTTGGATCATAAGATCTCAACGCCTTCACGTTTATATCGTAATAGTACAATACATCGTGGACGACACACGCATTCTCCCATTCCTCAGAATTCAGCATCTCATCCGATTCCCATTTATTTTCCTTTGGCTCATAAACAAAGCTATTATAACCGTATCTCACGTAAATCTTATGTTCCATCACCACAGAATGAGTTAACAATATGCAGCCTAACTCCGCGTCTGTCTTTTTCATCGCAGGATCCCACTTTTGAGTTTGTGTATCCAACACCATGACTCCCTCTGAGTTGATTACGTAAATCTTACCGTCGATGATTTCGGCGACCTTAACATCTTCCATGCGCTTAGGAATGGCGGAGATTGGCTGCACCGTGTGAGATCTACAGTCGATGCATGATGTACCGTAATCGTCAAGTGATCCATTTACCACATATATCTTGGAACCCACGGCTACGTACTTTTCATGGGGAACCATGAGAGGAGGCGACCCGATAATAACCAAACGATTTCTGTTGACTTTCCGGCGTAGAATACACAAACGGCATTCATTGTCGATATAGAGGACAAGATAGAGACAGTGTTCGGTACAGCCTAACAAGGATCTTCTCGTGTATAGCTCAGGTGAGGTAACGAGTGACTGGAAACTCTTGGTAACCAGAGAGATTTTTGGATAGTAGCAACTCGGTACACGTGCCACGATATCCACGATTAGGTCATATGGAAGTGACATCATCATGAGAGACCGCGGCGGCTCCAGCACAGGCGGTTGGTCCTCCCTCTTTGCCCTAACTTTGGAAGACATCTATACAAGTTAGGGCTAAAAACCAAGAATCACCGAGCGAGAGAGGAAGCCCCTAATCCTCTCTTGATTCCTAATTATCTATATTGCTCTAGTTGAATCAATCTCGATCTTCTCCAGCTTTGGTTCGTGACCTCTTAATAAAAGACAAACCGTATATATATATTGAGAAGAAGACTCCTGTTGAGACAGAGGTTTTCGGCTTTCAACAGCAAAGCCGTTATTGGGCCAACATTTAAACACGAAGCCTATGTCTTTGCCGCCATTGCTCTGCAACAAAAACAGAGAGAGAGACATACAAAGCGTAAGTCTCATCACAAGACTTTGAGTTGAATTGTCCAATTTTTGTAATCCTACGCTTTGAGCAGATGATAAAAACAACAAAAATATATTCTTCTCCAATTTTCCTTTCAAGCTCTCACCAAGAAAAAGGTTGTAGAATCAGAATATCTCTCAATAATTATAAGTAATAAACAGTTTGTGGATTTTGAAAGAAGAAGTTTTATTAGCACTTAAAGGCTTAGAAAATTATAAAGATAGTTTGACATTTAATCTTTGTTTTTATTTTTTTTGCTACGAATGCAAATATCATTAAAAATGAAAGTTAGATTTTACAGAAAGCAAATCTAAGATCTGTTCAACCTTGGCAAAAAAAGAGTAAAAACAGGGATGCACTAATAAGAAGGAAAGAAGACATGATTAGCGAAACCACATCGACATGAAATCTCGAAACTGTTTTTTTGTGACGACCAGCTGAAATCGCGTTCCGAAGCTCTTTGTCAAGAGCTCTGTAAAGGGTTAGCTTACAAAGTTAGAACTTTCGTATGTAGCTCTTGTGCTCTCTAGGATTTTTCGAATTAGTCTTGAAGTCATGTTGGATCCTTTTTTTATAAGGTTAGGGAGTCAGGTTCTATCGAACTCTCTTTCTTTTTTCTTAATGTTCGTACAGCTCATCAATATGTGGATGTGTTTACCAAAGAATCGTTTCTTACTCAATACAGACTCTCTTTCTCATTAGCAAGATGGGTCAACTTCTTTCAATCCAGTAATACGAACCTAAAATCTACAAATACAATAGGCGTAATAAAAAAGTTAAAAAAAAGTCTTCTTTATAGCCATGATTGATATAACACTACAGAATGAGAAGAACAAAAAACGTGCGAAAAAAAGAGTTCTATGAGTTTTTTGGCATCAAAGTAAAAGTTTTTGCATAATTTGTTTGCAAACCATTGGAAGTATCATACGGAATATAATAAACAACGGGGTGTAAAGTTACTTCTCCACACTCGAAAGAGTTTTATTTCATCCAAATCTACACGAAGGTGAGTTTCTTCGTAAAACAATAACAGCTAAACATTTTTCCACGTAAAAACTCTTACCATCAAACACAACATCACACCATTGCACCTTACCCTAAGTCTCTCCTCCTTAGCGTCTTTCCAAAGCAATCTCCACACACCAAAGCTCCCTTGTTCCCTTCCGACCATTCGACTTGAGAAAGAACAGAGCCAAAACTCTTGGAAACTAGAGAGATAGTCGGATAGTAGCAACGTGCCGCGATATCCACGATTAGATCATATGGAAGTGACATCATCATCCGAGACGCCCTAACTTTGGAAGACACCTAGGGGTGGGCATAAAAACCATAACCGAAAAAACCAAACCATACTGAACCGAAAAAGTGATATGGTTTGGTTATGGTTAAACCTAAAAATCCATTTGGCCATCATTTTTTTATAGCTTTGGTTTTGTTAAAAACCATCAAACCAAAATATTTTTTCGGTTTTTAAACTAAATTTTAAATAATTTATATTTTCCTAGTTTCTTAATTTAGTTTAGGTATATATTTTATTATTGGGCTTAGTTATCTTTATAATTTACTAACTTAATTCATAAATTTAAAATATAATATTTATAAAAAATATCTACATATAAATAATAAAGTAAACCTTAATTTTTCAATAAAGAAAAACGTGATTAACTCTTTTTTCTTTATATTCAAACCTTCTAGTTCTAGTTCCAAGGTTATAGGTATTAAATTTTAATCTAGATTTGTTAATTATTTTATAATTATTGATTATGAAAGATTTGATAATTTGTTTGTTTCTCTGTTTTGAAATCTGTCCTTATTAATGAATTTTTTATGATTTCGATTCTATTTTTTGGATTTATTGTTTTATTTCACTTATATCTATTATTTTTATTTCCATTAGTTTGAATCAAAAATTTTCGTAATAGTATAATTCCAAAAAACCGAAACCAAACCATATCAAACCGAACCGTAAAAAACCTAACCATGCCGAACCAAAATATATATGGCTTTTATATGGTTTGAATTTTCGTAAAACCGATAAACCATAAAACCGAAGAAACCGAACCGAAACCAAACCAAAAATCGAAGTGCCCACCCCTAAAGACACCTACAGAGTTAGGCCTCAAAATCAAGAATCACCGAGCGAGAGAGGAAGCCCTATGTATCTACAGACAGACCACAACTCGGTTTGAATCAATATCGATCTTCCTCAGCTTTTGGTTCGTGATCCAACAGAAAAAGGAAATTTTGAATAAAAACGAATATGAAAATAGAAGAAAAAGAAAGGTAATCTCTCCCTGTTTCTTAAATAGAATAAAAAGAAAACATGATTAGATTGAATAATGAATAGGATAATCGTATACACTTTTAGCTCAAACAAAACTAAATCCTCTTTTTTTTTTACTTTTTGTGTTCTTTTATTTTTCATATTTAACATGCGCGTCGGCGCACAAATATTTTTTTTTAAAATTTAATTTTAGAAAATATTGGTTTGGTAAATATAATTTTAAAATATAATTTTGTGGTCCCACAATATTTCTTCAAAACAGCTAATTTACAAATAATGCTAAGATGTTATAAAATATGTATATGAAAAATGTACAGTAGAACCTCTATAAATTAATACTCAATAAATTAATAATCACTATAAATTAATAAATTTTATCGGTCCCAATTCGGGCCGGTGTAAAAATTAACAAAATTCGATAAGATAATAAGATAATAATTTTTTTGAAAGTTCTATGTAAAAATATGGTCCCCATAAAATCATAAATTAATAATTATGAATCTAAGCATATATAAATATATGCATATATAGCTAAGACAATCTAGTAAAATATGAATCTATTGTTGTCTGTATTTTCTTAAAGTTGGATTCTCTCTGGAGTTCCTCTCTAATCTTCCTTGTTGCATCAACAATTCCTGGTATTGTCTTCTCGTTTTGCATCCAAAAATTATGAAGAACTCTAGAAGCCATAAGTGCTTCTTGGCGCGTAACTACTACCAAAGGTTCCACATTATCATCTTCAACTTCATCATCAACACTAAGAACAGTAGCCACAATTTCTTCTAAACTCTGAATTTCTGAACATATATCACTTTCACCGGGATAGTTGAGTATGCTGTTGATGTCCATTTTGTTCCGATAGTTGAGATTATTAATCACAACTTCAAGGTCATGAATGCTGTTTGACTCATCTTCCAAATTCATCGGTATGTCATATGCTGAACGAATTTTGCAGTGTCGAAAACAATTTGCTATTGTCTGTTGATTAACATTAATAGTCCAAGCCGAAACAGCAAAATTGATAGCATCCAAAACATTGATCTTACCTGGATCAGATTGCCCCAACTCATAGCCTTCTAAAATCTCACGGTAAAACCTCCTGCGATAATGCATTTTAAAAGCTCTTATTATTCCAGCATCACAAGGTTGAATTTTTGATGTCATATTTGGAGGCAAGAAGAACAACTCAACATTCTGCAACCCTTCAATATTTTTTGGATGTGCTGGACAATTATCTACCACAAACAAAACTCTTCTACCATGCATTCTCTTATCAAACCAGTGGATATATTCTTCAAAAGTCACACTTGTCATCCAAGCTTTTTTGTTGGCACGGTAGTGACAATTTAAGTTATCCATGTTGACATTCTTAAAACAACGTGGCTTTGCAAATTTTCCAATAATCCATAAAGGAATCTTTTCAGACCCATCTTCATTGCAGCAAATAACAACCATCAGCCTTTCTTTGTCTTGTTTTTTTCCTTCAAGTTGTTTTGTTGCAAGAGAATGATCAGCTTGTAATCTATAAAATAAACCAGTTTCATCCATATTAAAAACATCTTTCATAGGAAATTTATCTATTTTTTCCCTTATAACTTCAAGTTTCTTCTCCATATCTTGTACATCAACAGAACCACTCTCTCCAAATCGACGAAAAGACTTGATGCCATGTCGTAACTTGAATTTTTCAAGCCAGCCTTGAGAAAATTGGCGCTCCTGGTCTTGTTCAGGGTATAGAAGTTTCATTGTTTCTTTTGCCTTCTCCAGAATTAGCTCTCCAGACATATTCACACGTTCTTGGTATTGCAGAAACCACTCAAAAAGAACTTTTTCCATCTCTGGAAATTTTGCTGGTTTATGCCGTTTGATATCTCTTCCCGTTTCCAAGTTAGTAGAAAGATATTCAGCTGATCGTTTGAGTGTGTTTGAAATTGTACCTTGACTAACCTTTATATGATGCTTTTCTGCAAGCCACTCCTGCAAATCCTTTTGAGTGCATCCTGTATTATCTCTTTTGTACTCACATAATTCTTTGCGTATTTGATCTGACATTGTTGATTTTACAACACCTTTTAGATGAGAAGCCATTGCTAAGAACGTGTTGATGGAGGATTACTGTAGAACTAAAATTAAGACAATATCATATTTATAACAAAGTCTCGTACAAGACATAAACATGCATAAAGAATTTTAACAAAAAAAAAGGAAACATGTATAAAATCTTTTCTAAAATGGAATATTAACATAAAATAAAATATGTAAACAACAAAGTTATATGGAAATTTACGTAAAATAATTTGTTAAAATAATTTGTTAAAATATTTTATGAAGAAAATGAAAAATACCTCTATAAATTAATAATTTATTAATTTATCGATAAATTAATAATTATTAATTTATCGA